CCACCCCCCCCCCCCCCCCATGCCTCCTGTAGTGTATGTGTGTTTAAGACTGACCGTGGAGCAACACATGAAGACAATGGTGAAGGTTCCCAAGACGCCTCCAGCGCCCACCAACCAGGTCATCCTGAGGAACAGGATCACCCCCAGGATGTTCTGCAGACATGGCAGGTAAACGCCCATGATGGTGCCCATACGTGGAGCCTGTCAATCAATCAATCAATACTCAGGACACCATAGAACATAATGCTCAAAAAACAGCATCAAAGGCCATTTTAGCTGCTTGTCAATCAACATCCACCCAGTCAATGAGTAGCTACCATCCATCAACACAGAAGACTGAGGATCATGAAAGAAGGGTCAGTAGTGATTTGGCAGTCTGTAGAGATAATGGAAGAGTTCTTGTCACCTGCACAGTTTTCTTGCGCGCCTCCTCGTTGTTTTCTGCCTCCTCATGCTCTTTACTGCCCTGCGTCAGGTTGGAGTAGTTGGCGAGGCTGCTCAGCAGAGAAGATACCATTGGACTGGTGTCCATCTCCTCCTACACAACACACACATACAAACAAACGTGTAAACCTACTGCACATTCATCTCTAACTGTTTTAAATCATTAGCAACACTGGACTACCTCAAACAGGGCCATGTTTTTCCCATCATACTGCTGGCTTTTCTCTACGTCACTGGTGCTGCTGTTGATAAAGGGGCTGCTCTCTTTGGATGTCGCATCTCCTGTGAACATACATGAATTGAATATTGTTTATTCGAATCTGAGCTATTTACAATCTTTAGGACACTTAAAAAATATTTTTAATAAGTAATAATAAATAATAAGTTTTGGGTTAGCAAGATTATATTTTGAAAGAAATTATTACTTTTAGTCAGCAAGGACGCGCATTCAATTGGTCAAAAGTGACAATAAAGATACAGTACTTATAAAATTACAAAAGATACTTTTGACCTTTCTATTCATCAAAGAATCATGAAAAAGGATAAAAAAACTGTTTTTAAAGGGGTAATATGATGCAATTTAAATTTTTCCATTCTCTTTGGAGTGTTACAAGCTCTTGGTGCATAAAGAAGATCTGTAAAGTTGCAAAGACTAAAGTCTCAAATCCAAAGAGATATTCTTTATAAAAGTTAAGAGTCAGCCACACCTACCTAAAACGGCTCGTTCTAACACGCCCCCACATATCTACCTCACTATGTGGGAAGATTTGCATAACGCCGCCCAAATGTTCACGCAAAGAAAGAAGGCGTAACTTTTATTCTCGCTGTAGTATTGTTGCCGCCGCCATGTCGTGAAGGCGCTGTGTGTTTCGTTGTGAAAGCAAAACTACTTTGTTTGGACTTCCAAAAGAGGACAATATCTGCTTCGTCATACCTAGAGCTGATCCATGCTGGTCGCTGAGGAAATAC